AGAAAGAGTGAGAGAGAGAAAGAGTGAGAGAGAAAGAGTGAGAGAGAGAGAAAGAGTGAGAGAGAGAGAAAGAGTGAGAGAGAGAGAGAAAGAGAGAGAAAGAGTAAGAGTGAGAGAGAGTAAGAGTGAGAGAGAGAGAAAGAGTGAGAGAGAGAGAAAGAGTGAGAGAGAGAAAGAGTGAGAGAGAGAGAAAGAGTGAGAGAGAGAGAAAGAGTGAGAGAGAGAGAAAGAGAGAGAGAGAGAGAGAGAGAGAGAGAGAGAGAGAGAGAGAGAGAGAGAGAGAGAGAGTAAGAGTGAGAGAGAGTAAGAATGAGAGAGAGAGAGAGAGAGAGAGAGAGAGAGAGAGAGAGAGAGAGAGAGAGAGAGAGAGAGAGAGAGAGAGAGAGAGAGAGAGAGAGAGAGAGAGAGAGAGAGAGAGAGAATATAAATATACAAACACAAGACCCCTGGACAACTGCGTGGTAACCTTTCCAGTCTAACAATATGTCAGTGGTGCTCTGACAGTTGTGTAGAGTGGACGCCAGCTTCCATCCCGTGCCTGCAATATTCAGTACCTTGTTCTACCAAGGTGTCTATCTCTAGACTTCACCGTCAGCTTCCCTGGACACTAGATATATATATTCATGTGGACGTGAATGAGTAACTTAGATATATTTCTCCAAAGATGTCTCAAGTGCCTACATTTGGACTTCTGTTTGTCGCAGTTTCTTGAGAAATCCTGTGTCCTTCTGATCGATCTGTTGAGGCTTTTGTTTACCATTCAGTCGAGTTATATTATCTGTAAAATTACTGTACAAATATTTATATCTCGTTGCATAACTGCCTACTTTAACTACCGTTCATTCTAGCCTAAATGTCATAATAACTTACAAATTCAACGCTGAGTCTTAGATCTTTGGCGAGTCTCTTTGTTCACTTCGACATTCTCAGCTCGTCCTCCTGAGGTTTCCCATCGTCAAGGAATTGACGTACTAAAGTGCTCTTGTCCTAACCTACCAGAGAACCCAAAACAGAAAACGGGCCAGTATTTCACTTCCGCGAGCCGCTACTATTTTCTAATGCGACGATTTTTGGCCTTAGGGAAAGTATACGTCAAAATACGACGTTCTATTAAGAGGACAGGTGGTGGCAGACCTTAAAAGTTCACAGTGGGGAACCATACAATAAATTACACCAAACAAGTTCCATTTAGCCTTGGAGGATGTACCAGAAAGTTTGAAGACGTTCAGATGACTGAGCTCGGCAGTAAAGGCGGACATTATTATTAGGGGTCATAATAGCTAAGAGTTTAAGTGGGAAAATTCGCTGGTAAAGTTTAAGAGTGCGGCTTAACCAAATTAGTTTCCAAGAGAAGGTTTAAGTTTAATCAGCATAATATATCGGCTTAAAGTGCGGAAGTGTTAAAACTCTGAATGAACGATAAAGTTTTAATAGGTTACTTTAAGTAAGGAGACTAATGTGGCTCCTCACACTATAACAAGAAAATGTGACAGTTAAACAGTTTGTTTCAGAGAACTTTGACAGGACATTTTTGCATGTAGGAGTATAGGAGTTGAACGTTAACCAGTAGTTATTTAGTGTTTAATTGGATATTAACAAGTAACGGCTCAGTAGTTGGGATAACATCTCAGTGTGGAATATAAGGAACAGAATTGTGAAGTCAAATGACAACAGCTGCCTCTGTTGAGATGCAATATGATGACAGTTTTATTATGATGCAAAATTAAGACAGCTGTCTCTATTTAGAAGTGAAATGATGGCAGCTGCCCTTGTAGTGACGTACAGTTATGACAGGATCATCTCACAGTCAACTGACATGAACTTGACTGACTCAGCTGCCTCCTGTATTGGTACGACGTATAAATGGCCTCTCTCGGAGGTCAGTGGCACCAATATCACACAACACGGTGCAGAGTTGTGATCAGTTGACCCCACACGGGTCCACTACACTACACACTGCCTCACCCACTACCCCTCCCCGCCACACTGGGTCTCTGACTGTTCTTGTTCTCTACAAGGTCTTCTTCTCATTATATGACGCCAACCTTCTGTTTACTATTACATCTCATACAGTGAACTGTTGCTTGTGTCTCAGTGTAAATAAAATGTTTTAATTGGCTCAGCCAATTAATGCACAACCGTATTCTACCCACTTCAAGACTCGAACCATTATAGAAGCATCAAGAGGAAGTGTTGATGCTATGGGCCAATAGGCCTACTGCAGTTACTTCCATTCTTATGTTTTTATACCCAATGGTTCGTGTTGTATCTTGTGTAAATGTCAATCACCTCACCCAAAACTTTGGTACCATATCACCTCACCCAAATCCGAGTATAAGTATGGATGTGTGTTTACAGGTTACAGTTGTGTGTGTAAACTAAAGTCTTTGAAAATGTAATAAGTTTAAAATTTCATTTAAGAGTAAATTGTGTTAAGTTTTAATTTGAATATTGTTTATATTCTGCAATTTTCACATTGCAAGTGCCAAAACAGCGCTTTGTTTTTGTTGATGCGAAGCGACAACCCCATTAGACCTGCCTGGTTTAGCTGCCACACTGCTTCACGTCAATATATATACACCCGCCCAGTATGGCTGCCACACTGCTTCACGTCAATATATATACACCCGCCCAGTATGGCTGCCACACTGCTTCACGTCAATATATATACATTTATTTGTTATTTTCCCAGCCTCTTGTGACGGAGGTGACTTCCTCCACAACATTCTCCACTCACAAAACACTCCAGCTCAAGTGCATTGGAAAAACGTTAATTTCCTTCCGATGTAATTATTTAATTAATCAATTTATCCAATTATACTCGCGAACAGAATTTTTACTTTTGTTCTGAAAACAAAAGAACACTCCATAATTTTCACGTCTGACAAATTAACTGAACCATATTGCGGTAATGTTTGATCTAACACACATGAAACACATTTAGCTAGAGGAAACACAAGTTTATATCCGACTTCTGCAAAACGTTACATCCGCATTTGTTCATTAAATAAAGAGAGTTTAAGTCGATTGTAACTTGTCTGTTTATATAATCTAGTGATCTGGTTGATTTTTATTATTTGTTTTCCCCCATAATAGTGTTCGTGAATTCTGATTAGCAACTGATGACACCAAGACCATCACCTCTTCGAATTCCAACACGAATTTAGATTAATAGTGAAAAAGGGATATATATATGTATTATTCTCGTGGATTCTATTTCAGTTGAGTTTTGCGTCCTTAGTCACACTCGCACAGTGCTGTGTGTGTGTGTGTGTGTGTGTGTGTGTGTGTGTGTGTGTGTGTGTGTGTGTTTACTAGTTGTATTTTTACGGGGGTTGAGCTTTGCTCTTTCGGCCCGCCTCTCAACTGTCAATCAACTGTTTACTAACTACTTTTTTTTTTTTCTCTCTCTCTCTCCACACCACACACACACACACACCAGGAAGCAGCCCGTGACAGCTGACTAACTCCCAGGTACCTATTTACTGCTAGGTAACAGGGGCACTTAGGGTGAAAGAAACTTTGCCCATTTGTTTCTGCCTCGTGCGGGAATCGAACCCGCGCCACAGTATTACGAGTCCTGCGCGCTATCCACCAGGCTACGAGGCCCCGTAGCCCCAAGCTACGTGTGTGTGTGTGTGTGTGTGTGTGTGTGTGTGTGTGTGTGTGTGTGTGTGTGTGTGTGTGTGTGTGTGTGTGTGTGTGGAGGAGGCCCACAATCGGGTTCACTTCCGTGGGATGTCACCCTCCCAGCACGTAGAGGAGACCACCCCACAACTGACCACACTCTTGTGGGATCCCACCGCTGTAATGTGTGTGGAGGGGGGGGGGGAAGGACCCCAAATATTTATGCTAACACACAGAAATAACATTAACATGATATATATACATCAATGTGGTAATCCATAAGGTCTAACCACTTGGGCTGGACGGTAGAGCGACGGTCTCCCTTCATGCAGGTCGCCGTTCAATTCCCGACCGTCCAAGTGTTTGAGAACCATTCCTTCCCCCCGTCCCATCCCAAATCCTAATCCCGACCCCTTCCCAGTGCTATGTAGTCGTAATGGCTTGGCGCTCTACCCTGATAATTCCCCTTCTCTTTATAAATTATTTATATATTTATATATATTATAGACCAGTGAGAGGGGTCACGAACCTGTGTCCAAGGCAAGGCATTACCTTGGTAGAAGGTTCGCTCCCACCTCATTACCCTGGTGGATTTTCTGATTAATGCTAATATTAGTAGAATGATGTTGATTTAAATTATTTGTTATCAAAATTGTTAATTTTATAATGATTCGTAATTGTAATTTGTGTTCTAAATATATTTGATTTTTGTTTCTCGTAAAATTGCACTGAATATTTCTCTAAGAAAAAATTTCAACTTTATTTTAAAATTAATATACTCGCAACCATTCATTATTGAAATTCCTTACGAAAAAATCACAAATAAAATAATCAGTATCAATCATATTAGCAGCATCAATTAGGGACTTGACTCAGGCCTCACCACCAGCATCAATTAGGTACTTGACTCAGCCCACACCACCAGCATCAATTAGGTACTTGACTCAGCCAACACCACCAGCATCAATTAGGTACTTGACTCAGCCAACACCACCAGCATCAATTAGGTACTTGACTCATCCCACACCACCAGCATCAACTAGGGACTTGACTCAGGCCTCACCACCAGCATCAATTAGGTACTTGGCTCGGCCCTCACCACCAGCATCAATTAGGTACTTGACTCATCCCACACCACCAGCATCAATTAGGGACTTGACTCATCCCACACCACCAGCATCAATTAGGGACTTGACTCATCCCACACCACCAGCATCAATTAAGATCTTGACTCAGCCCACATCACCAGCATCAATTAGGTACTTGACGCAGCCCACATCACCAGCATCAATCAGGTCTTACATTCTACACAAACATGCTAGACTCCCTCAGACTCGAGGAGACGATAGTCAGCACCTTAATCGACATATTACTCGACACTTTACTCGACACATTACTCGACACTTTACTCGACACCTTACTCGACACTTTACTCGACACATTACTCGACACTTTACTCGACACATTACTCGACAGACTTAAGCTCCCACTAAGAATAGACAGTACAGCATCCAGTTATTCACCTGCTTCTCGCCACACAAATCCTCACCAGTTCATTTACAGTTGAGAGGCGGGACCAAAGAGCCAAAGCTCAACCCCAGCAAGCACAACTAGGTGATTACAACTAGGAGACGTTGGCATGACTAGTCCTTTAACTGCATCTCTGTATTATTCCTCAAAATAATAATAAATTGATTCATTATTCTAAGATTAACCTCCTTGTGCTCAACCTATACATTTACTTACCCTACCAGTTGGATAACAAAGCAGACAACACCTTCGTGGGAAGAAAACAAACATTAGTTCCTGTTGAGAAATAACGAACGATTGACAGAAAGTTTTACGTTTTAATTTAATTGGGAAAAAAATTATAAGATATAATCAACTGTGCTCAAATATGGTAATCAATTTCTTAATCTGTATAGTAGTGGGCCTAGTCAACCAGTTATGAACAAAGATGAACACGCCAGTTGATAACTGCTCGTGGGTGACTGGCCTCAACTCATGCACTGATGCTAGGTAACTAGTTAATTCTTCTTGCTCTTCAATAACACCTGTCAAAGGACACGCCCAAATAATAGCAGTCATCATAATATGACAACTATGTCAGGGGATATAAAGTATATTGATTATGAGATAATGACCAAGGAATATTTACCTTGGTTATGTCGCTGTCTCGTGTTCTAACTGGCTTTACCCTATATATCTACCTACTTCTCTGGCCAGGAAAGCACTAAGATAATAAGCGGGTTTCGGTAAGAACCTTCCTTATAGTAGACACAGTTGTGTCTTGATAACGAAAGCACTTTACTTCTGTAACACAGCTGTCCATGGGAGAATTATTGGAGCTAAATTTGCTCCTGCGACTGATGTTAAACTAATGGCTGACTCAAGCCACCCTCCCCACGCATCCTGGTTCCCTAGTCTAGATGTCACAGTGGTTAGAGGGCCGACATTTACTCGAGTGTGGTACTGATAATGAAGTGATTCAAGGGAGATGTTATTATGGTGTTTACAGTCCAGAGACCAAGGTATTAAGAATAATTCCCAACAGAATTAGCTGGTGAGAAAAATAGCAACGTGGCACTGATATCCCCCGGTTTCTATTGAATGAAAATTCCACTGTGCTTCATTTTCTATATGTGACTAAACACTGTTTCTACGGTTAATTTGGTATTTACACAACAGCAGCAATATTATCTGCATATTGTATTAAATGTTAGTAAATAGTGTCGGATTTTCCGACAACCCCCCCCCCCCCTCCTTAACGAATTCGGTTGATATGAAATATGCAACCAAAAGTCCGTACAGTTTAGTATTCATTTATATACACAAGGCAATCACACCAGCACTGGGAATCGCTTTTTGCAAAGACATCAATCAATGCAACATCCTCATCCAAATGTGGAATAAAATTAAAAATATTTCTCCTGCTAGCAGTGGTCAACGTGCTCACCACTCCCCGGCAGACTACGCCACCATGTTGCTCCAGCAATATGCAAGAACTGCCAGTATAAAAAGCCTGCCCCTGGATATACACCACCATCTTGATACCATCAATATCAATCGTAACTTCAACAGTGTGAAATTACCTGTAGTGAAATAGGTCTGGATGATAACTATGACATCACTCCCTTTGAAATAGTGATGCCCAACCACTTGGGCTGGACGGTAGAGCGACGGTTTCTGTTCATGCAGGTCGGTGTTCAATCCCCATACCGTACAAGTGGTTGGGCACCATTCTTTTCCCCCGTCCCTTCCCAAACTCTTATCCTAACCCCTTCCCAGTGCTATATAGTCGTAATGGCTTTGCGCTTTCTTATAGTTCCCTTCCCTTCGAAATCAAAAACTACACACAAGAAAGGTAAGGCTGCCTCTCCTGGAGAGGACGGCGTAACATACAAATGTTAGTGCTTGCTGAGCTGCCAACTTGCCCTCTGCCAGAACTGTTTAATGATAGTTTAAGGCAAAGTATTTTACCTGACCGCTGGACACAGGGACTCATAATACCCCCATATACAAGCCCAATTCACAAAAGTTCAGACCCATCTCTCTGACATCCTCTAGGTGTAAAGTTCTTGAGAGGATTATACATACTCAACAGGCCCCAAATTATGTGTCACATTAGACCGCGCCTTGTTCCTAACCTGTGTGGTTGCCTTCACGCAAGAACCACTCAAACTTGCTGTGATGAATATTATATTAGACACGAACCAGGCTCTCAGGCGGCATTATTGACCGGCAAACTGTTTTTGATACAGCAAACACAACAGAACAAAAAAAGTAAATTACACTCACGTGATATATGCACACGGAAATCAATTGGGGCAATGCGGGAATTCGAACCCTCGATTGTTCAGATATCGACATGCAAAACTTATGTTCAGATGACAGATCTGTGTTGTGGCACAACCTTTTGATTACAGTGATGTAGTGTGTAGTGAAAGTGGTAACAGGTATTGCGGGAATGTTGAGAGTATTTGTGGGTGTAGAGAGGGGGTGTGTACTCACCTAGTTGGGCTTGCGGGGGTTGAGCTCTGGCTCTTTGGTCCCGCCTCTCAACCATCTTTCAACAGGTGTACAGGTTCCTGAGCCTATTGGGCTCTGTCATATCTACACTTGAAACTGTGTATGGAGTCAGCCTCCACCACATCACTTCCTAATGCATTCCTTTTGTCAACCACTCTGACACTAAAAAAAGTTCTTTCTTATATATCTGTGGCTCATTTGGGCACTCAGTTTCCACCTGTGTCCCCTAGTGCGTGTGCCCCTTGTGTTAAATAACCTGTCTTTATCTACCCTGTCGATTCCCTTGAGAATCTTGAATGGGGTGATCATGTCCCCCCCTAACTCTTCTGTCTTCCAACGAAGTGAGGTTTAATTCCCGTAGTCTCTCCTCGTAAACTAGGTGTGTATTCACCTAGTTGTATTTACCTAGTATTTACCTAGTTGTGCTTGCGGGGGTCGAGCTCTAGCTCATTCGGCCTGCATCTCAACTGTCAATCAACTTTGTTCCCCCCCCCCCCACACACACACACACACACACACACACACACACACAGGAAACAGCTTGTAGCAGCTGTCTTACTCCCAGGTACCTATTTACAGCTAGGAAGCATCAGGGTGAAAGAAACTCTGCCCATTTGTTTTCGCTATCGCCGGGGACCGATCCCCGGACCCTAGAAATACGAATCCCGAGCGCTGTCCATTCAGCCACAAGGCCTCCGTGGTGTGTGTAAATGGTGATGCGTAAGGAGCGAAGATGTTTACACTGATGAAAACAGCATTGTAAAATTATTTACGCAGACACAGGTGAGTGGGGGTGATTGGGAGGGAGGGTGATGAGGGAGATGGAGTGTGAAACATGGGAGAGTGCGTAGGAGAGGCCTGGACCCCAGAGTGTCCCCGGGCACTGCCGGGTATACCATTTAGTGTAAGTATACACCTCGAATACAGTTTCTTCGTTCGAATCTCCGTTGTTAAAATCTCGTGGAGTCATACTTACCAAAACAATGAATATTTAAAATAAATGACTAAAATTTACCCATTATTAATTGGGAGTCCACAAGTCTCCCAATTGCGTCAAACGATAACATTTAATTCTGATATAACAAAATCTCCCCCCCCCCCCTCCCCCTGCGAACACTTTAAATCAGTTGGTTTATATTGGTTGCAAGAAGAGATACATAGATAATGCACAAGTTACTCGTTCAGGGGGGTTGAGGGTTGGGGGGATGCGAAGCCACCATACATCACATGCAAACGTTATTCCAGTGTGACAGCCAAGCCACCAGCACGAAGCCTTTAAATCATTGCGATGAATCAGTCGACTCTAAAGTCTGTGACTCGTACCATTACATGAAGAGTAAAGCTCTTCTCTTCCTTTTCATCTGACTTTTATTATCAAATGTAAACAAAATATAAATGCGATTTATTTCCATGGACAAAGGTATAGCAAAGAATTTGTGCAGAGAAACATGAAGAAGAATATTTGTAACAATTATTAAGCCTTTAAAGTCATTATATTTTCATGTGTGTTTTGTGAGGAATGTCAAGCATTGTAACATTGTAATTGGGGATACTAATGTATTTTTGCTGGTTATTTTGTAAGTCTGTTTTGGGTCTTTTGATGGTTTGTATTGGATACATTGTTAGTATGTGTTGGGTATGTTGTTAGTTTACGTTAGGTGCGCTGTTAGCTGATGCCGGGTACATTGTCTGTGATGTGTACAGTGTTAGTTTGTTGAGTACATTGTTAGCTTATGTTGGGTATATTGTTATCTTGTATTGGGGTCCAATGTTATATTGTGTTGGGTTCATTGCTAGCTTGTGTTAGGTATATTCTTGTTTTATGTTGGGTATATTGTCATATATATTTATATCATTTGTAGGGAAGTGTTATATTGTTAACGTTATAACTGATATCCATCACCGACGTTATTGATACGAACAGTGTTTTATTATGTTTTGGAGAGGGAATGTGACAACATTTATTCCTTATGCTGGAGGGGCTGGTGTTATATATGTGAGGCAGACACTGGAGGGGCTGGTGTTATATATGTGAGGCACACACTGGAGGGGCTGGTGTTATATATGTGAGGCACACACTGGAGGGGCTGGTGTTATATATGTGAGGCACACACTGGAGGGGCTGGTGTTATATATGTGAGGCACACACTGGAGGGGCACACACTGGAGGGGCTGGTTATATATGTGAGGCAGACACTGGAGGGGCTGGTGTTATATATGTGAGGCACACACTGGAGGGGCTGGTGTTATATATGTGAGGCACACACTGGAGGGGCTGGTGTTATATATGTGAGGCAGACACTGGAGGGGCTGGTGTTATATATGTGAGGCAGACACTGGAGGGGCTGGTGTTATATATGTGAGGCACACACTCATATCTTCCCATCAACAAAAATTGAATTGGAGATATTTTAATTACGTTAATTAAATACATAATTAAGAACTTTTCCTTTAACAAAGTTCTCTTTATTTCATATTTGAAATTCAGCGTTGATTACTTTCTTGTATTGATTTAGTGACTCATACCTTGCATTAAACATGTGTATATGAAGCAACATATAAACATATATATAATAATAAACATATAAACATAGTTAAAGTCCACTGCGGGATCACTATAGCCCGTGCTACCTGTAACTTTAGTTCTGAGTAACTGAATCTAAAACAACAGCAACAACAACACACATAATAATTCAACATATAAACATATGTTTATATGTTGAAGATACAAAATAAATGTAATATTCAATAAAAGATATATTGAAGGTAAAATATTTCCAAACAGCAAGACACAAATTATTACCACATTTATATGGGTATGGGTCATTTTGTAATTGTTTTGAATTATCATATATATGAAATGAGAAAATAAATAACCAAGAAGGAAAATTCAAAGAAGAACTTGTTGGAGCACTTTCGTATAATCTGCACATCATCAAAAGCTTTAACAAAGTAATATAAAACCTGAACTATGTAGTCACCAAAAAGAAAAGCGACATGTGGGATGAGAAAAAAAGAAAAAGAGAAGACATAACAGAGAAAACCAAAATTTATTCTGGGAAAATGGGCAGACGGCAGAGGAAATTGACGGTCTTCTTTGACAAATTTGCAGACGAGTATTCCTGTGTCATATTAGACAGGGTATTGAGGACTCCTTGGACAGCGGTTCCGTCCACAAATATTGTCTATTAGCGTGCACCTCACCGTCCTGTCTTGCTGATTCTCAAATGTTATATAATTCTTTAGGAAAAAAAAGCATGAGACTGAAAATGAAAGCTTCCTCGTCTTGCACGTTACTTCATTCGAAAATTAAATTCTGAAACGAAAGGTTTTAAAGTTTTGTGGATTTAATATTCTCTCATGCGATGTTGTTCGTTCTGAGTCAAAACAGTTTTGCATGTTTATTTAGTTAGGTGTGTTTAATTACGATAAAACCATTGATTTCAAAATAAGTCTAAACAAACTTACTCTGGACATAATACTGCACAAGACCAGAGGATAATACACTTACTCAGTAATAGACCTACAGTATTGCCTCAATAGTATTGATCAATACAATAAATGGCTGCTCATAATATCAATATCTTTCCAACAGTGATACTTAACACTTCAGAAAGAGGCATAATACTTTGACCATATTGTCAATATTGCTCGGGCATCAGTCATTAATCATACTCGGGAACAATCACCAACTCGAGGTCAATAATCCACTTTGTGATTGATAGCCCGGAGATGATGCATCACGGTGCCACGGACACGGAGATGATGCATCACGGTGCCACGGACACGGAGATGATGCATCACGGTGCCACGGACACGGAGATGATGCATCACGGTGCCACGGACACGGAGATGATGCATCACGGTGCCACGGACACGGTGATGATGCATCACGGTGCCACGGACACGGTGATGATGCATCACGGTGCCACGGACACGGAGATGATGCATCACGGTGCCACGGACACGGAGATGATGCATCACGGTGCCACGGACACGGAGATGATGCATCACGGTGCCACGGACACGGAGATGATGCATCACGGTGCCACGGACACGGAGATGATACATCACGGTGCCACGGACACGGAGATGATGCATCACGGTGCCACGGACACGGAGATGATGCATCACGGTGCCACGGACACGGAGATGATGCATCACGGTGCCACGGACACGGAGATGATGCATCACGGTGCCACGGACACGGAGATGATGCATCACGGTGCCACGGACAGGGGCGTGGGTGGGGGGGGGGAGTAATTTAAGGTCATAATTAATGGTTGACTTGGACGATCTTGGCGGGTAATAACTCCAAGTCTGGAGCCTCTTGCTGAGGAGGAGACCACCCAGTACTGGGTAGTGTGACAGAGAGAAGGAGACCACCCAGTACTGGGTAGTGTGACAGAGAGGGGGAGACCACCCAGTACTGGGTAGTGTGACAGAGAGGAGGAGACCACCCAGTACTGGGTAGTGTGACAGAGAGGAGGAGACCACCCAGTACTGGGTAGTGTGACAGAGAGGAGGAGACCACCCAGTACTGGGTAGTGTGACAGAGAGGGAGGAGACCACCCAGTACTGGGTAGTGTGACAGAGAGGGGGAGACCACCCAGTACTGGGTAGTGTGACAGAGAGGAGGAGACCACCCAGTACTGGGTAGTGTGACAGAGAGGAGGAGACCATCCAGTACTGGGTAGTGTGACAGAGAGGAGGAGACCACCCAGTACTGGGTAGTGTGACAGAGAGGAGGAGACCACCCAGTACTGGGTAGTGTGACAGAGAGGAGGAGACCACCCAGTACTGGGTAGTGTGACAGAGAGGAGGAGACCACCCAGTACTGGGTAGTGTGACAGAGAGGAGGAGACCACCCAGTACTGGGTAGTGTGACAGAGAGGAGGAGACCACCCAGTACTGGGTAGTGTGACAGAGGGGGAGGAGACCACCCAGTACTGGGTAGTGTGACAGAGAGAGAGAGACCACCCAGTACTGGGTAGTGTGACAGAGAGGAGGAGACCACCCAGTACTGGGTAGTGTGACAGAGAGGAGGAGACCAACCAGTACTGGGTAGTGTGACAGAGAGGAGGAGACCACCCAGTACTGGGTAGTGTGACAGAGAGGAGGAGACCACCCAGTACTGGGTAGTGTGACAGAGAGGAGGAGACCACCCAGTACTGGGTAGTGTGACAGAGAGGGAGGAGACCACCCAGTACTGGGTAGTGTGACAGAGAGGAGGAGACCACCCAGTACTGGGTAGTGTGACAGAGAGGAGGAGACCACCCAGTACTGGGTAGTGTGACAGAGAGGAGGAGACCACCCAGTACTGGGTAGTGTGACAGAGAGGAGGAGACCACCCAGTACTGGGTAGTGTGACAGAGAGGAGGAGACCACCCAGTACTGGGTAGTGTGACAGAGAGGAGGAGACCACCCAGTACTGGGTAGTGTGACAGAGAGGGGGAGAGAGAGAGGGAAGGGAGGAGAGAGAAAAGGAGAGAATACTAAATATTAGGAAGAAAGAATAATAATAAAAATATCATTGATAAGCGAAATAAAAATATTTCATCCCATTTCCAAGTATTCAACATTTGTAATCCATATTTTTGTATGATTGTTTCTCGGGGACTCCAAGGGGCCACAAACCAAGTTTTCAATTGCATAATTTTGGCAATTTTGTTTGGTTGGGTGGTGGCCAGTTATGAATTTAGCGGGTGAATTTGTTGAGATAAAATATATTTGCAAATAGAAGTTGAGCAAGATAGTAAGAAAAGTGCTTTTGACTGATGTTAGGTAGTGTGTGACTGACTTGTATGTTAGAAAAAAAAATTGAGTAACAAAAAGTACTTGAAACTAAGGTATAATTCTTTGAGAAACTTAATCTAATTACTAGATAAAGAGTTTATGGTTAACATACCTTAAAGAAATACATATGAGCACAATGGGGCCACGGGAGGCAGAGAGAGTGGGAGTGAACAG